TGTTGGACAGGTGGATGGACTGTTCCGGCTGCAAGACATAGGTTATAGAATGCATCTACTGTACATGAATGTATCTTACAGAGAAGACCTTTCAAGCTTAGGGTTAGGGTCTGGGGTGTTTTGCAAGAGCATGCAATCACCATGAATTATGGAATTGGACATTAATCAATGTTTTCCATTTCACAACCCCATTAGCAGTATAGCATGTAGATATGCATATTTACATATAATCTCTTCTACCTCCTGGGTTTGTGTCATTTTATGTGGAAATGTTAAGAAAATACAATGGAACATTGGAAAAAGAAAAACAGTGTGGAAACTTAATCTTTATTTTGTGCTACACAGTTTGCACTTCTCTGCAGAGTAATTGCACATCTGGCAGGCTGACCCGTGGTTGTCTTGGCAGGTGCGTGAGGATAACGGACACAGGGCTGGGATACCTATCCACCATGTCTTCTCTGCGCAGTCTCTACCTGAGGTGGTGCTGCCAGGTATGTCCATCAAGAACCTTTGTCCATCATTTCAGATAGGAAAGCTGTCCTGCTCGTCCAGTCTTCCTCAAGGGTCTTCCAATTACATGACATTCCCTAACTGCCAGCTGAGGAATGCCATGTGATTGGAAGACCCGAGCTGACTGGATATGTTAACTGCTCTACCCCGCAGTATTGGCAAACTGTGCAAACATCCCATTCATGAAGCTGATTAAGGGCCACAGTGCTCATGTTTATCTAGATGGATACAGGTATAAAAGCAACTTGACTTTTTGATCTGCACAACTGGAAGGTATGTTTTTTTTTCTGTGGCATTCTCTCATTTTTTCCATTTAGTAATTGATTTGTATTATTTTCACCATTTAAGATGGATGGGCAAATGTAATACCATTCTCTGTCAGACAGCGATACATTTTTTTTTGCCAAAAGTCTGCCTTCTGTCCAATTTAGGGTTCTGTACACAAAGTGGTCACCACTCCGTTTTCCTTCTTTTCAGGTGCAAGATTTTGGTTTGCAGCATCTATTCGGAATGAGGAGTCTGCGCCTCTTGTCTCTCGCAGGTACGTGTTGCCTCATCTGTGTCTCATCTCTGAGCTTTCAGAGATGAAAGACTCGGCCTAAACTACCTTTTTATCCCTGCAGCGTAAAGTACCTTCGTGATCTTTTTTTATATGAAATTCTAGAAAGAAACCCTACAGATTTTATGGATAGTAAATGGCAGAACTTCCTTAGAAAACCCCAAAATCTTACTTTCAAATTGTCTTTAAAAGGCCTTAATGCGTGTACAGATGTTTGCGTAGGAGGAGAGAGAGGTTTAGTTCTTAATTGCCTCACTCTTCGACGTTCCTCAGAGGGACCCGATTTTCGCAAGCTCGCTCTTCCTTTCTGTCTCAGGCTGTCCTCTGCTCACCACGACGGGCCTGTCCGGCCTCATCCAGCTGCAGGACCTGGAGGAACTGGAGCTGACCAATTGCCCTGGGGCCACGGCTGAACTCTTCAAGTACTATTCACAGCACCTGCCTCGCTGCATGGTGATCGAGTAGCCAGTGGGGGGCGGCACTGCGCCACGTCGCCCAAACCTTGTCCTGCAGTCAAAACCGAAAGCTGCCCAGCCAACTTCATTCAGATCCTGAGGGTGGAAGGACGAAAGAGGGAGCAGGAGGGAAGGAAGAAAGGAAAGCCCAGCCTGATCTACCGACAGACGGAGGCCTAAAAACTTTCCGAACGGAGGGACGGACTGCGGAGAGGAACGCGAAGAAGGGAAGGATGAAAATCGATCAAGACTCCATACACACACGCGCGCGCGCACTCACACATGAACCATGCAATTCCACGAATCCTGAGAACTTTAGCTTCGGTGTGACATCATTCCGTGTTTTTTCAAAGGTTGTGTGTCTTGAGCCCCTCCGGCCACCTCGCGTCCTGGTCCCGGGTGTCCGGTGCGAACGGGCGGAGCAGTGGGGAAGCGAGAGGAGGAGGGCGAGGCAGGCAGGGGGGCCAGGCTTCGCTGGGAGCACTGTACGGCACTTTGTGCCGGCGTGGGTCTCGCGCACTCTGTCGTGCTCTCCGAGGTGTTTTTCTCCTCCACCCCCCCCCTCCCCCCATGTCTGTGTCTTAACAACCGAAAAACAATGGCTAAGTAGATTTTTTTGGGGGGTCAGAGCTGCACGCTTACCCGCTTGTTGTAATGCTATTTTCTTAAGTATTATTTTTAAATCTTAATTTCTGAGTAAGCAAACAAAAGGCTCGACATTTGTGGTAAGCAATCAAAGGTCTCGAAGAAAGGGGACCCACGGTAATTAAAGGGAGGACACTGAACGGGGACGCCGCTTTAAAGTTCAAGTTGCTCGCTTTGTGGGTGGGCGAGGAGCCAGCGCGATCTTTTGACCAAAGGATCCCGTGGGGGTTGTGATTTCAGAAATGGCTCGGGGGTTGATGAGGGAGGGGGTGTGCCACGGGGAAGAGGGTAGTTAACGAGCTCTGATTGGTGGACTGTGCTGTATATACGTTAGGTAATACACCCAGCTTGGCCTTGTTGTGAGAACTCCTGTTAATTTGAGGTCAGGTGATGTTTGTGGCCTGCGTGCAGGTTTGAGTGTCTGTCACAATTTAGCAGATACAGGAGGTAAGAAGGTGTACGCTGAACTGCATGTCTCCAGCGCTCTTGTTACCACCCCTGTGGGTCAGCGAAGTCAGCCCTGGGGCTCTCAGTAGCAGGAGATGTCGCACGCTGTCGTTACTTATGATCTTATGTTATTTGCATTTGCAGCGACACTGTATTAGAAAGGGCGTGACAGCCCACAACTATCATAGACATGGAAGCACTCGACATCAGTCATATTCTTCCAACAACAAGTAAAGCAGCACTCTCCCATATATGCTTGTGCGTGTATATAAACAAACTGCTGTATTAGTAGCGTGACATTTGGAAGTTTCATAGACTTATCTCAATAGCTATCCCGCACGTAGAAAAGGATAGCCACCAGTGGAGTGTGCTTATCTCTGTGTCCAGACTGGACTGAGCTCTTGGCCAGGTATAAATCTCTGGTAGAGGCAGGACCCTTCACCAAAGTGGAGTTGTGTCCCTCCTAGGCAGCTCTCCTCCTCTGCCAGACCTGCAAGGGGGCACTCTTGCTCATTCCATTTCACTTCATTTCATCTCAGTATCCCAGCAGGCCCAGCTCAATACAGTAACAATTTTACTCACTTCTTTGTTTTCTTGATCTCACAGAGATTCTTTGGAGGTTTTTCTCCCTTTGTTTCTGTTCTGGAAGAAGCGGCGTTGGGAACCCTGGGGCTTTCGCTGTCCCCGGTCTGTTCCCTCTTCTCTCGAGTTGCTGATTCAGGGCGTTTTGCAGAGCACAGCAGTTTGCCTGGTCTCAGGTTACAGCTCACCTCAGCTCCTGGGCGCCTAGCTGCGTGTAGCACCGTGCGAACTGCAGAAATACTGGAGGGGCAGTAGCTTCCCATTTCAAATCAAATAGAGGTTTAATAGAAGGATAAACTTTGATGTTTCTAACTAGGTATTGTAGTATGGTAGGCTGAGTTGTGGGTCCCAGGTGTTGTTAGCTGGCATTTGACCCAGGTGGACTTTAATACAAACTCCTGTGGGATTTAGGTTGAGTCACAAGACCTCCGAATTGCTGTCAGTCAGATCGCTCCATGACTCACTGAATGGGACTGGATGGAAGACTTGAGGCGATAAAAATTCAAAAGCAAAAACTGCACAAAAAATCTCGTTCCATTGTCTAAATACATATGCCAATATTTCTTAAATATTGGCTGGAGTTGCATGGCTGGTGCGTTATCTTCTACCTGGTACATGTACAGATCCATGACTTCTGTAGTGTAAGATTCATATTCCCCATGACAGACACGTGCTTCCTCTGATGTCGACTGCAGAAGAGGTGGTTCGTTCTCTGTACACATTCCCTTTACCACATCTTAGAACATATTTCCATAACTTTCTGAGGAAAAACAATGCTGTTTGTTTCAGGACCAGTGCAAAAGATCTGTAGTTCATGTTGTGTTGTTGGCCTGCTCTGGTGTTAATGATATACAATTTAAACTGGTTTCCACAAGGGTGATGACTTAAGGTAGCTTGTGGTTTCCTGACCAGGCCATAAGTACAGTACAGGGACACAGTGGACTTGTTCAGTCTTTTTGGTTCTGGAAGCATAGAGCCTGACTGGATTTGTCCTCTGATTTATGATGGCTCCTTCTTGAACGGGGATGTTTTTTTTTATAAGCAGGTAACCCTCTGAAAATATGAGCTGGACAGTTTAGACATTACCAGCCTTTTAACCTCTGCAGTGTGAGGTTGGGAAGAAAGGTAGGTATAGTTCATGCATATGTGAGTTTACGCAGGTGTTTGCCCCAGAGCTGGGAAGAGGCTGTGATGGATTAGTGGGTGTATATCTCCCAAGCACCAGAGCATAAATCCTCATTTGCCACTCCAGCATGAAGGTGGTCTAGAGGAGGCTCAAGCCCTCTCTTATGCTTGCTTATTTATTTTCTATTTATTTTCTATTTATGTATTTATTTATGAAGAAGAATTCTGGAAATCTGAAATGGCCCTCCGGTGTGCTCAGCCCGAAATGGTGAAGAATGAGAGCAGGACAGATTTGGGGGCTCTGAATCTGTTCTCGAGGCTGCACATCCCGTTTCGAATCCAACACTGCTCCATCTGTTGAGTCAGCTGGACTGTGTGCAGAGGCAACAGTGTTAACAGTCAGAGCTTCTGCAGGATTCTTCTCTTCCTCGGCCACTGGTGGTTTAGGGAGACCATGATGGACGTCTGGGATTATTAGTTCACTGGGGGAGGAGGCCAGGAGTTACACCAGCATGTTGCTTCCATGACACAAATGTTATTTGGGGTCGGGACTGTAATGTGTAGTAAAATATTACTCATGTGCAAAAATATTTACTGTATGCACCATGTGACATTAAACTACAACCATATCTGTCAGACCTCTTTCTATAGGATGCTTTTCATGACAACTACCCATAGGCACTGTAAAAAAAAAAGAAACCGTCAAGAAGTAAATAAAGTAAATGCATTGAAACACAGCAGTAAGTAATTAAAAGTCCACAAAAGGACTCTTTAATAAGGTTTTCTAACTGTACTATACAAATTTAAATTTGACATACTGCAGTTATCTGGTCGATAGAGTGACTCTCTGGCATTAGGGTAGATGAACCCTGGTCTGTTTGACATTCACCTGCATAGTCTTTGCAGTCCAAGCCGGGATCAGCAACTTTCTGCGGTATGGCAGGAAATGGCTGAGCCTGGGCCCGCCTTGCTCCGAAGGACAGACGGTTGGTGTTCTCTGCACGCATCGGGGCTGGGTTCCATTCATCCAGCCTTTCACCCGGGGCCTGCTGGGACTTGCAAGTCCCGCCAGGAGGAAAAGTCTCGGGCTTCCAGAGGAGGAAGCGGAGATGTTCAGTGAGCATTAGACAGCCGAAGCGAGGTGGGCGCTGGCCTGACTTTGGTCTCTCTAACACCCAGGTGTGAATATTAGTTTAAAGTGTGAATGTATTCTTCTTCTTTTTTTAACACAGATCAAAAATCCAGGCCATAAAAGGGTTAACGGAGAAAAGACCTGGCTGAGGGTCGGGGTGGGAGGGGCAGGACGGCATTGTGAATACATTTGGCTTTTTTTATTTGACCGGAATCCACCTGAGCTTATTAATATCCATTGCAGAAAGATTCAGTATATATATATGAAGTATATATAATGTGTAAAATACTCATATTAATGGTAGGGGCATGCATGCTGGTTGAGGGGTGCTTCTCCACCCCCCGTGTTGGCTCCTCCCCCCGGCCGACACTCCAGTCCGGCTGTACAGCAGGGGCACGCTCAGGCGCGGCCTCTCTATCTCTCTCTCGAGTTGATTTAATAGGGAGCGTGGAAGTCAACAGAAAGGAGGTTTGGTTTTCCCTCCTTGATTTGTCTCACCTTTCACGTGCAGATACCCATCCCCGCTCACGACCAACGAGAAGTTTGTGTTTCCGCACATCTTCCCAACAGTAATGACTCGCTAGTGTTTCTTTAAGACCTGCACGTGGTAGCAGTATTATCCAAACACACGCATCTGCCCCCATCTGGATAACCAGATCTGCAGAAGCAGGGCTGGAGCTGAACTGAAGAGTAGTGCTCTGGCCCTGGGGAATTACTGATAATCGCTTTCCCTGGACACTGTTTAGTATCCCAGCCTGCTTCACACTGTTTCAACAGGGAGGGGATTTCAGGTGGGAATACAGCTGTACAGGCAGCACTCACTGCTGGGTAATATCACTCCTGGGGAGAGAGCAACATGCAACAGCAACAAAAAAGCTGTGAGATACTGTTTCTGTTTGATAAAAAAACGTCGTGGGCGTCTGTCCGGCTGAGGTTGTTTTATCTGCTGTTTATAACTGTGCCTATGGAGTAGCGAAGGAGTTGGCTCAGGAGCGGCTGGGCCCGGCTCAGAACTCCTTTCTGTTTCATAGACTTTCACCAGTGAATCCTTGAATCATCAGATAGGATTCATTACAGGTAATTAGAATTACAGCAAATCAAGTGTGGTATGGAAATAGGAAATGATTCCCTGTCGTACCCAGATTTGCTCTCCAGAGTTGAAATATAATTCCTCCTCTTTTTTTTTTTAGCAAAAAGTTGCAATGCTTTTAAGGATTTGTTTCAGCCGTTGCATAGCAGGTTATGCCAACATGTTGAAGGTTTATCGGATTTAAGTAAAGTCTGGCAATATCATTACTGCAGGTACTTTGCATTTATAATGTTTACTCATTACTCTTAACTGATTTAAATAATATTTTTAAAATAAACTGTTACTATAGGGTGACAGCTTTCACCCATTTAATTAAAGAAACTAACAAATGTTGGAAGGCCACTGGGCCCATCTAAACTGTATGGTTGTTCAAAGCTTATTAAACAAGGCTATGTAACGTTTTTAAATATTCAAACATTGAACATTGAACTAAACACAAAACTTGAACTAAACACATCAAAAACCAGAAGAAGTTAGGGGACCCCCTAGACTTTATATTGAGTTCCTTCGTGTTGAGAAAACATCAAAACAATTTTTGTTTTTAATTTGGAAGTTTTTTACTAATTAAGAAAGTTTTATTGTAACGCAAAAATAAATTTGAGCTTCTTCACGTATAGTACATATCACATGGTCACAAATTTCCGCAACCAGTTTGAATGCCTCTATGAATAACACTGGTTCATATAGTTTAGGAATAAGGTAGGTCTTAAAAGCTGCACACTGATTATTATACAAATATAATTCTGGTTCTTTTCCATTTTTTTTTAGTTATGACAAAGTCATGAGTTTTCTGGCAGTTTTTTCCTTCTGTAAATAATGATGTGGTGACATTTATTTGACAGAAACGTTTTTAGTAATTTTATCTCATGGCAGCAGTGCCTTGTCAAACAAGCGTTGTCGTTTTCAAATGGTTTGGTTGCAGTCTGCACCGTTTTAGTAAAAGTTGTACAAAAAAAGAGGAGGCTTGCTGTGTCTTTTTCTTTAGCATTGGTTTTTGACATGCCTCATGTTGTCTCCTTTCCATTTTTTCCACTTATCTGGGCAAATGGGAAAGGTATTATGTCCTTTTTAATGAACAATGCAGCAATACCCTAGTTGTGAATGTTCCTTCTCTTGATTATGTGGGGCATAAGCACCATTTCTGTTTGGAATATCCCCACCCACATACATTTATGAAAACACATGTAAAATTTTACCGAAGAGTTTTCTATACAAAGAAATATATATTTATTCAGATTTCCAAAACCAAAAGCATCATTAGCTCGCTGCGTTGTATGTTTATGTCCCTGGCATGTTTTTAAAATTTTATTTCCTTGGATCTTTTTAAAATATAGAAAATGTAAGTTCAATGGAATTTTAAACAGTGGCTTCTATGAGTAAAGCTCAGTGAAATCTCCTGGTTCTTATATGCCCTCTGTATGGAATTTTTGCTTTTCAGTAAATTGCAGATAATATTTGATTGGCATCTTTTCCAGTAAATGTCCGTGCCTGCTTTTGTCATAATACAGATTTAAACATTTTAATAAAAAATCCCTATATTTCAGGGAAGCCCACAGATGATTTTACAGAATGACTTATGTTAAAGTATCTGGAGTGTTAGTGTACTGACAAAGAGATGCAAGGCTTTGAATACTTCTATAAACTTATAGGTTTAGCTGTTTTTTTTCCCAACAGTTGTGCTGTGCACTCCAAAGATCTTTCAGTACAAGTTCATGCACACTGTAATAAAATGTGCAGCAGCTGACTGCAGTTCCTCTATAAAGGCATGTGGAAGCAGAAACTGTCCAACACTGCCACCTACTGCCTTTGACTCAAAAGGGTTAGCTGTCAAAAGAACATCCCAGATGCGAGTTTCTGTTTCAGGGTTCATTTTCATACGACACCCCTTTACAAGTTCTGAGAGTCATTTTGGTTTGATCAATATGAATAACTTTGAAACAAGGTTTGTTCCCCTCGCGACTGAACTACTTGTTTTGAGTTTATTCTACACAGGAACCTGGCTGAGAGGTGATCCCAATCCCTTGTTTGCAAATCTGTTTGATTCATGCTTCACTCTTCTGGAGAGCCTCATTTAGCTTCCAGTGTGTCTTTTGCATTTTGGTTGCTTTTGAAACACACTGTTGTACAAGAGATTTGCTAACAACTGTTAATTAATGCCATTTAATGTTATTTCAACATGAAATATCCACATTCTACTATGCAGTTCCAAAAAATGCAGCATTTAAGCTTTTATTTCTAAAACTTAATTTCTAACCCTGTACTCTGAAATGTACAGGATGTAGCATTTAACTTCCTCCTGCTTAGACCCCAGAATTGACTTAAAATCAGTAATTAGTTTAAAGTGGGAGCTATTCCCTGAAAGCAAACACCAAAAGTGGGAATCTCTAAATGTAACCTGTACTACTTAATTTCCTTTATTTGACTGGTGATTTTGTCCGTTAGCAACTGACATTCCCACTCATTTCTAAAGGGGGGGTATTGTACTGGAACAATCTCGGTGAAATACCTTGCTCAAGGCTACAAGATCAGTGGCTCACCCAGGATTTGAACCCATAAGCTTTGAGTTTATAACCCAGAAACCTAATCACTCTTTCATACTGCTCACTGAACATACTCATAGAAAAGGAGGAGAATTCAATTATTGACCATCATGCATATCAAACCACGCATCAATGAGTCACCATATGCTGCAGCGGACCAAACTACTTGTGTGGTATTTGCCTTTGGAAAAGACGCGTTTCTGCTCAACCAACCCTTTTTAACATATAGCTCTTCCACACTGATATTTATGGTAACTTTCACCATGTTTCATGGGAATGTGTGCTGAGTTAGTAAAAGAATTACATGGTTCTACAGAGTATGGTAATTTAATCGCAGACAAAGGGTGTTTTATATGAATATTCTTTTTTAAAAAAGAGAATCACATTTGAGCTGTTAGTACAGTACAAAACAACAGAGACATTAAAAACATTAGTCTGTACATGGGCTGATACGCAAAGGGCAGAAGAAACTCCAGGCCTGATCCACTGCAGGGCTCGGAACCGAAGGCCACAGCGAACCCTACAGGTGGGGGCAAGACTCTGCACAGCCTTGGGGACAAACAAAATAATTTGCTTGAGGTGAGGCAGGCGATCTAAGTTAAACATAAGAACGCAGCTGCAGTCAAGCAGAACCGATCTGTTCTGATGGCAGAAAAGTGCTTCTGCTGCTTTTCATCTCCCTTGACTAACCCCACAGAGGGCTGCAGTTCCTCCACGTGGACACAGGCGACACCGATGTTCAAAAGTGTTAACAATATGCAACAGTTTCTTATAATCCCGAACAAGCATAGAAAAGACCTGTAAATCCTTTAAAAAAGCCCCAGTGAAAAAAGCAGAAACCCTTCTGAGGGTGTAATACAACACACAGAAACTTAACGGGCCTTGATGTCAAGCCAAGGATAGGTTCTATGGAAGGACACAACTATAAGAGAAAAGTCTTCGCTGCTAGTTCATACATTGTCAATAAGACTTCCTTGACTGCCCCTGCTACACCTGGCTCTAAACATTTCAGTCTGCTTCACAGTCCAGAGCAAAACTTAGTCTAAATATTCTGTCAAACCTTTAAGAAAAATGTCAGCGAGCCCAGCTGCCCACCGCCAGGTTGTTGTTTTTTTTTTAAAAGAGTCCTGTCATTTTGCAATACTGATAACATCCCAAGCAGAGGAACGTCTAAAGAGCAGACCAATATATCCAAAAAAAAAAAGCAAATGGATGAATGTGAACCAAGGAGTAGCTGGTTTTAAAAAATCCTCCCGTCTTATTGGAGTGAAACGTGTCATCGCCGCTCATGGGTATTGTTACAGTGGTATTCTGTGTTACAGAGAAGTATTCAATGTTCTGAATGAGCTGGGATCTGGGGGCAAAAAGCGGAGTGAAGATCTAAGCTAGAGGTTTAGCTTGTGCATTCTCTTCTGTCCTCCCTTGAGAATTCAGCACGTTGCAGATACCATTTTTGTCAAGCTACCAGAGTCGCAGAGCCCCCTCTTTGTATTCATAGACACTTTGACATTAGTAGAAATGCTTTACTTAGTGGTAACGTCTGCAGGACAACAGGACTGTCCAAGGTGTGGTCCAGTCCTGGGACATTTCTTAGCAAGAGAGGAGTAGGTGTTGGTATACAAGGGTCTTCCTGCCGTGCTGAAGGAAAGGACAGGGAGAAAGTGAGAGGATGAACCTGGATTCATCGGCGTGGTTGTCCTCTCTTCCCCCGTCTCCCCTCAGAGGTGACTCTCCGCCTCGCTCTTCCCCAGTGTGCCATTCACCGGGGTCAAAGGTGAAAGTCCCAATCCGTTCATGTTGCTTTCGTTGAGCTTCCGCACTCTGTAGGTCTCGTAATGGATGTTGTGCGTGACATCTTTCAGATCCTGTAGGTGGGACCTTCAGAGAAACCCGGAAAAAAAAATAAACGATGAATGAGTTGAAGGTCTCAATCAAGGGCAAAGCTGATGCCTGGTGAAGAACTTCCACTCTAAACACCTTTGAGAACAACACAGTGGTTGTTAAGGAACCATGTGGCTCACAGAAGACAAAGAAACTGTTGTGTTTTACTTGACATCAATGGGCATCAATCCATCCACATGTCCAATTTAGGCTAAAATAAATGAATTCCATCGATGAATGAGTAGTCTTTTCTAACCAGCAAAATAATAATATTTTTCCTTATATATTTATCTACTCTCCTTGAACCAGGGTATTTCAATGTTAATTTGCTGTTTTAAGTATTCTAAGTCTTTAAGACCTAATCTGCAAACCTAAAAAAAAAAACAGAGGTAGAAATGATGGTTATGGTGACTTTGAAGCTGTTTCAGAGCAAATCAGGCACACTGATAACATCAAAATCTGTTGAGATGTTTTGAACAGGTCTATTTCGCATGGGAAATCTCCTGAATAACAAGAAGCCGAGCTATTCAGAAGGCTGTGCCTCAGGGCCTTTGTATGACACACCAGGAGGGGTCACAGAAAGGTGACTGCTTCACCTGAGACAGACTGAGGTGGCCTGGCATTAACCTATCCACACCTCCTGCTCCGGGATTCCAGGGGACAATGCACCATTGTGAAGCCATCCTCAGTCACCGAGAGTTCACAGGAGAAATTATAGTCTTAAACTCTGCCTCTAGTCCAGTTCATTCAGCACAGGAAGCTGAACTCCCCATTACTGATAATAAACTGTATTCTGGGATTACTCTTATGGTTACGAAGATTACTTTTGGGGGTAAACATTGTAAGTCGATGTGGTGGTGAAAGGAGAGAAAACATATTCTGCACAATTCTATGTGGGTTAGAAAATGAGCAGTTCTCAAAAATGCATAATGCTTTTATGTAAAAACCCCATACCTTCTCACCTTTATATTCCTGTAACTTGTCTGAACTGCGTTTCTGAATTGCTTGCGTCACACTATAATCTCAGACAGAAGTGCCTCTTAGCTCTGGCTAAAGGGTGAGACTTCAACACAACTGATAAAGAACACCGGCTCATGGACAAGACAAAACCCAGCAACCACACTGTCCCTACCTGATAAGCAGATCCCTCAAGTTGGCAAACTCGCAGTGCGCAACATTTTCAACTGTGAAGGAAGCACAGCGAACAGGCATGTTAAAGCTGACAGCAACCATACAGCAAAGCAGATAACAGAAGGAACCTGTTGACAGAGTTCATTAAAACATTTTCCCACTTTAAAATGACATCCTTGGCAGTTGATTTGAAGCATGAAATTTGAAATCTTTGACCAGCAGACGTCTGCTTCCCCAGAGGTGACGCAATCATTCCAGTACGCAGGAGGCACTGAATTTATCTTAAAGTGTTCTGTCACAAGTAAGATCTAAATGAACCAGTCTGACTTTTTTATTTAATACTATGGCAGACAGGTCATAGAACGATGACCCAGTAATGCTGAAAACCGTTAAGTAGAGTCTACACTTGAATTGTTTATGATGTATTTTTCCACGTCTCACATCTGCTTGCTACTCTTCATGTCCTTCAAGTGCACAGAATTTCTACTCTTCTGTTTACACTTGGTGAAGTGTAAAAACATCTAAATCTTGTACATAATGCAATGTAGATTTTGTATTTTTTCATCATACCATCCCAATATGGTGTGCCAGTGGCCCACTAGTTCCCCAGAATTATAGGGTGCTGACAAGCCCAGTTGCTACTAGTTTCTCTGAGTGGTCAGTTGAAACCTTGCAGCTGTAGATGACTGGTTGATAAAGTCAATATCACGAGGTGACAATGAGGTATCAAACCTCTTGGATCCTGTTTTGTTTTCAGTAAAAAGAAACATTTCAAGACTCATTTCAAAGATGAAAGATGTGAAACTTAATCCGAGGTGGAGCACAAAGTAGCCCCCCCCCCTTCATACAGTAACATCGCAACATATTTCTCCTGCCACCCTGCAGAGTACTGTATTTAACTCCAACCATTTTCTAATGGCTTCCTCCAAGTCAGGGTCGTGGGAGGGGGGAGCTGGAGCCCATCCCGACAAGCAACAGATGCAAGGCAGGGTACATCCTGGACAGGACGCCCGTTCAGCACACAAACACAGACACTCACACCAGAAGCCACTTAACCTACCAGTATGTCTTTGGACCGTGAAAGGAAACCGAAGCACCCAGAGGAAACCCATGCAAAACACAGCGAGAACATTCAAACTGTTTTAATTATCTACATGACAGAAATATAATGGAATTAAGATCTGGTCTCTTTAATTAAATGGTATAATCTATTATAGTTATAGAGTATCTTGTCCGCTTACAGCTTCATCAGTATCCGTGTTACACTGTTGAAATGGCAAAGAAGTTGAGAAGCTTGTGTTATTTACGTAACGGGCGATGGAACGGGTTACTCTGTTAGACTGTTAAGACTCCACCACTTGTGTAAAAAGTGCTGCACAGACAAAACGCAGACTTGTCAGAAGCTGAGTGGGCAGCTTCTTCAGGTTCAGAAAGTAATGATCTCTGGGGTGCATGATCTCCTGCAGGGATTTCTGCTGTGACTGGAACGAAGGAGGAAGACGCACGGTTTGTACCCATGAGTGAAGTGGTGAGTTTGAAGGTGACCAGCTGGCCACTTGGCCAGGCCGAGGAACTGGGAGGCCGAGAGAGCCTACACTGACCCAAGGCTCAAACTGTTAAACAGGTTGTCTACAGGGGTCAGCTCACTCCCTGGAGAGTCAGTGCACTCCTTTGGGACAGAGGTGGGAATTCGTTGCTAGACAAGGAGCTCCATGCTGTCCATGGTGAGCCTCGGGAAGCCTTAAGGGTCTCAAACAAACGAGGGGTACGCCGAAGGCCAAACCACTCAGCCAGCACTGGTCTTAGTGAATCAAGTCTTAGTTCAACGGTGCAACAACACTTGTGGTTCGTCTACAACATATTCTTTCTTAGGTACTTGCAAGTACACATTCACAGTGAATTGAGGATTTTTACTTAAATTTCTCTGGAAACAGAATGTGAAATAATGTGGGACTGCAATTTAGATTGAAAGTCTATTCATTTCTGGAAACAGCCACTAGATGGCACGTTTGTACATTTGTAACTTCATTTGTTAATAATTCCAGACATGGCATTTTATCTCACTTTAATGGTATCTGTGTGGGCTTTGTCGGATTCTCCACTGACATTCTGCAAAACCTCTGCTTGGCTTGACGAAGCCTTCTGGTAAACAAATTCAGCTGGTTTCCGAGTTTTCAGAGCTCCTCACCCAAGCTCAGATCCAGCCTGTGGGGTGGCAACAGCTGCTTGGAGAGATCTCTGTCTCTGTACAGTATGTGCAGCATCAGCCCCAGGTAGGAGACAAGGCTCATGGACTCCCAATATAAAATAACCTTCTAATTAGATCATTTTAACAATCTCTACACTTCAATGTGTCTGCTCTTAGATTATTAAAGGGAGAAAGTGGCAGCCGAGCACTTTCCATTCATTCTGGAGTAGTCGGCTGTCAGTGCGATCTGTGCTCATCACCTCCCAGTGCTCTAACACAGTGTGAAAGCTCACCTGAGCCTCTACAGGCTGCCTCTTATGAGAGCTCTGTCTGACAAGTGAAGCTCTCTGTTTTAAATAACCCCCAGGGGCTGGGGAGCTCATGGAAGTGGTCACCCTGCCTCAATACCTGTCCATGAAAAGAGTGACTTGGGTACACCTCTCTACCTTAACCTGCATTGGGACTGCACGTGCTGACACACACACACTCCCCCACACTTTGTCTCCTGAGATACCCAGATATGACACTCCATGTCACATAATTATAATCCCAATGACATTTTTAATGACATGCGTGCGGATATTGAAAAAGCTGTTACATTCCCAGTGAAGGCTCTTTCCTACCATATGTCAGGGGCACTACAGCTGAAGAATATTTGTATTTCGGTAGTGTCATAAGGCACCACAACCTCCCAAATGTGCCGGGTTTCGTCGTTTCTGGAAACTGTTAATGACTCCCTCCACAGTGATACCATGAGCAAGCTCACTTCCACCGGTCCAATTTCATTCACTGACAGGTGATGAGAAAAACAGGTAATGAGAGATTTTAATTTGTTCCCTGCAGCAACCTGGCTTTTTAAAAATATGTATTTAACGACCGCTTATAAAAACTGAAGATGATCTAGAGTGAAGTAACAACAAAAATGTGCTGTTGTGGGAATGTATGCATATTTTCTGCTTGGATGTCATATTTTCCTTTGATGGTTTCAAAAGAATATATTAGTTCCAGACCACCTCCTTCATCAGACGGCTCATCAAGAGAGTACCTAGATATGGGCGTAGAGAGATCTGTAGCAGTGCCATCACAGGAAGTCTGCAAGCTGCAGTTGGCATGACTTTGTCTGGGGGTAAAGTACGTACTGTATGTACCGTGGGTGGGCAGCGTTCAAGTGAGAGGAGAGCACTACAGCACATGGGCTCGGTTTTTACATGCATGTGTCATGGTCTATACTAGAATTTCAACATAGATAGCAGCTCAGCGGCTGACACGTTTCTTTCTTAATCACAGAATTCCAGACCCTGGGCTTAATCCGTTAGTCTTCCTTGAATCAAAGCAGCCAGACACCCCCCATGACAGCTGCCTCCCATTATCCCAGAAACTCTCACCCCCTGTTTTGTGATGGGGCTGCTGTGAGTCCCCACTCATTTCTGTTCTGTTTGTGAAACAAGCCAAGTACGGTTTCTCTCCCTCTCCCTTTACTCTCCCTCACTTGTAAACTGCTGCCTTCTCAGTGCCTCTCTGAAGGAAGCTGCGGAGATTTCCAGGTCCTTGTCTGTGCTGCAGCTGCCGTATCCCAGGGTAGAAACCCCAGCAAAGAGCCCTTGTGAGACAGCTCCTGATATCAGGCAGACTGAGTGGCTACTGGTGCAGAGGGTAGCACTGCAGTGTGGTAGGATCTGTGAGACCTTACAGCATTGATTTAAAGCAGCTGCGAACCAAGACAAATTCCTGAATTTTTCACTGCAAGGTCAATGCATTATGTGGGACTCATATGGGATAATGAACACAGCAGATGTTTGTTACCTGGCCTTTAGAGTACTCTATGAAGCCCACTGCAATATGCATTCTGTGTGATGTATAATCCAAGAAATCTTGAATGTCTGTAGGGGTGAGGCCCAATGACATGGAGTGAAATGAACCAACGTTTTTTGTTCAAAGCAGCTTGTATTGCATTTTTCCACATGGGTGCACATGATCCAGTCCATAAAGTAGCAGTTTTGAGATGGTATCCTGATCCCCCCCTTGTGGTTGGTGGTTATGTTTTGAGCTACATTAGGCAGTGGGTTTCCTGGCTAGTGTAAACACTGCTGAGCACTGCTACAAATCAGATAGGCTAACCAGCAGTCTTTATTGCACAGCCCTGGGACCAGGGGAAAACTGAATTCTCTAATTTTTTGGAGAAATTATTACTTGACATTAAAGAGCAAGGTCTGGAGAATCCCTACATTAGGTGCCCAGTGCTACACGACTCAAACACAGAGACAAAAATGAAGCATCCTTCTCTCCAAAGACTCAGACTGAAGAGGCTATGCTTTGGACAATGTTAACACCGCAATGTTTCCAAACACCCCCCTTTCAAATGTCCCCCTAATTGACAGAAGGGGTAAAACTTGAAGGCATTGCTTTTTTGGATGGTAAGTACAGACATCTGAGCTGATTTCGTCAAGCAATGAAAAGGCAATATGTCATAAAGCTACAGCAGGAAGAATATATAAACACCGTATGTATGATGGCAGATTGGGACAACACAGTATTCCCTCTGGGCAGATGTGGGAAGATGTGGTTTGGGGATAATAGGCTCAGCTCAGAGGCGGACAGTGTGGGATTTCACTTCCTAAAAGATCTCCAAAGCCAAACCTTACCTTCAATGATCCCCCATTTAGTCTTCCTGCCCAGGACCTTGTTTCCATTCACCTGATGCTCTTTGTCTGTGCCCACCACTGCAAACGGGATCTTTTCCTGAAACGAGAACGCCACCATAACCATTTCAGGTCGACCGTCATGATCAATTAAATCCAGGTCACTTCTGGTAACCAGCAAATCAATCAACAACTAGACTCCGGGCCCCCTCAGCCAGGTGAGCTGCACCAATTAAACAACTAATCTGTATCATGCTTCTACTTCATATTAATTATGGATTGACCAAACTACTGAAACTATCGCAAGTGATATGATGGGTTTTGCTCAATAGGAAATCCTTTAAAAATATTTATCTATGAACATTGTAACATCGTACAGTGAAATCCACACTATTATCCAACAAGCTTCAGTATCAGGTGTGGCTCACATTAAAGCTTTGTTTTAACCTGCCTTTCATATTGAGAAATGGGGAAACACCCATAATATTCTTCCCATGAAACTGTATAACTCCTCAGAAAGCACATTATGCAAATATTGCCAACTGTTTCAGTCAGAATCTTTCAGTTTTTCCCTATTTGTGAGGATAGAAAAACACGCTATTAAAGAAATGTTTTTCACTGGGCTGGACAAAAAAAAACAAAAGAAACAAGGTCTTACCCTGATTTTATCATTCAGTATCCTGTCCTCAGCATCCTCATCATACTCCCGTTGTGGAAACACTCTGATCCCATGGGTCTGCAGGTCCTGCCGGATCTGCGGGTTAACAAATTCAAAATTGTTTCCCATGGAGAAACAGACCATCTCCGAATGGCAGGAATTGTGTAAGAGACTGATTAATGGTTTGACAAGGATCTGCAGCTGTGTTGTACTGTCAGTACCAGGCAGGGATTGCTTTGCTGTGCAACAGCTAACTGTCATGATCTTCTACAGTCGCATAAAAATGCAAACAGAAGCAATTAAGGAAGCTCTCTGCTTCGGCTTGATCACAACCAAACAAAATCTGAATTTCAGCACAGCAGCCTTCCAGCCTGAATGGTTGCACAAGGTGTGTTGCTGTCCAAGAGGGAAAGATTTAAAGAAGTTTGTTGATGAATCTCCAAATACAGCAGTGGGATTTCTTGCAGTGACACAGATGTGTCGGAGGCGCTGTTATGAAAAGCGGATAATGCAATAATTAGCAGCAATGTCTAAACCCTTAATTAACCGGCAGTTAAAATATGTTTAGGCCACTGGAGACTTTAGATCAATTCAGCGAGGGCAAGCTGATGTCCTGTTTGGAAAGAAAAGATGGCAAAGGGCCAAGCAGGAGGGCCAGGAAGACCATGTGCTTTGCTTATTGATCCCAGCTGAATACTCTGCCAGCAGTCACACAGAGGCAGTATTTGTAACATTATAATTGCCCAACTGTGGTATTTGTGCTTTGTGAGCGAGGTCAAGGGTCAAGAGTGCTTTGACCGGTAGATAAATGCAGAATCACACGGACTCCTTTCAAGAATTATCCGAAGCAAAAGGGATTTCAAGTGCTCCATGCCCCCGTCTCCCGCCCCAGCCAGCTCCATGGTAATGATTTTCAGCATTATTTAACTTGTGGAATTTGGAAATTGTTCAGTGGCAGTAAACAATCAGCTTTAATAAGGGATTAATTGGGTGTGTGTGTGGTTGGGGTGGGTGTTTATTTTGGGGGTTGAAAGTCAACCGGAGGCTTTCTGAAGATCCCAAGTTCTGCTAACGACAAAATATGATTTTGGTCAGGCTGTAAATCTTCCAGGAAAACAATCTTTCTCTCTCTTCTTGTGAGTCAATATATATAACTGGAATTATTATAATAAGGATGCAGCTTGATGAAGCACCGTGGTTCCCAGCCCTAGAACTGTTTTCCTTCCACCTTAACTGTAAATCTTCAGCACTTAATTGATGACTTAATTGATCTGATTTCTTGTTAAGACTGTTATTTAATTAGTTTCTTTGGCCAGTCACAAATACCTTACTTCAATGGCACCATATTCAACAGTTTCTAAAGACAGAACTTTTCACAGGCTCTTTTCAGCCTGCTTGACATTATCTCTGACAGAACAGCTGTGGATCAATGTATCAGACACAATGGGTGTTTTTCCCTTCTGCAGAGGTCCTGTTGGCTACATTTCAGGCAACACAGATGAAGGGCAGTTCTGAAGCTCCGAAATAGGTACAGGGTTGAAACCAATTAGATCCCTGTTCACTTTTAAGAGCTGAAAGCACATCTACAATTATTATCCCAAACAGAAAAGTGAAATCTATTAGCATTAGTAATGCAGAACTTGGCAGGAGACAAAAAAAAAAACACAAGACAGAGTGTTCTTCCAGCATCGGGGTTGGGACACGCTGCCCTAGCAAGTTGCTGCATGATCACTTCTGGTTGTGGAATAAACAGTGATTCTCACATGGCTCATACCGGGGCTACAGCTTCAGCTCGGGCTTGGGGTTTGCTCCTATAGCTGTCTGGCTGGCCCCTCTGCCATTCAGAACCACTCCCTGTTCTTGCGGGCACGCCTGGTACATACCCGTTGCTTGAACTCCAGCCTCTCTTCCATGGTGAGTGTGTCTGCTTTGGCAATCACTGGCACGATGCTCACGATTTTGCCCAGTCGCTTCATGAACTCCAGGTCGATGGGACGCAACCTTTAAAAGAGAAGTGACACACTGAGCATCCCCCACGATACTCCCGATATAGTCCAATAGAGCACCATGCTTTTTAAATTAGAAGGCTGTCTCTGAAGCGTCCATGCCTGAGTTATATATAGCAAATGTGCCCATTAACCTGTCGAATATCTGTTGCTTTATGTCAGGGTAATGAATCAGATTTCTGTAGATGCACATGTCCTGTCTGAGCACGAACCCTGCCAGTCCCCTCCATCAACCTCGAGACCCGGAGTGGGAAACTCTGTCAGCTCTCCCCCTGCCCTCAGACACTCTTCGGCCAGCCAGCTTGAATTACAGCTTTATGCTGGTCATAAATCAGTCTTGATGATTTTAAACAAATTGTTTTCTGATTTGTAAATGGGAGGAATGTCACCGATGATTGGAAAGCCTCAACTGCCAGAGAAACATGAAAAAACTGAATTTATGCAGAGCATACATTTTTCTTCTTTTTACTTTTTTAAAACAACCGCCACTGGCAATAGCAACTGCTACATGTCTGTAAACTAAAATATCAGTAACGCAGTGATGTGGTTTACACCACATAAAAGAACAAATCTCTGCTGCTGGAAGAGCACAATTATACTGTTCTGAACAGCAATGGACGTATCGTCTAGGGAGTGAACTTTTGTGCTGCAAATCATTGCTGCTCAGCAGGCTAAAACAACAGATGCTTTAGTTTAAATCCTTCATCACTGCAATCCCTGTTCATCCAAGCTGTTTGATGTTTGCACCCCAGGCTATCAGCGGCGTGATTATATTTTGTCCATCCCACATTGACACAAAGCACAAAACAGCGGAAAGCAATATGGCACAACACAGGTGGGCTGCACTGCCCTAACATGAACCTTCCATGCTCAGTGTCTCACATCACAGAAACAGCCATGATTCGGTGTTGCAGAGAACCTGAACTGCCGACTGCAGTAAAAGCGCTATTGGGCCCAGCTGGAAAAAACTGGGAAAAAGCTTGTATGCTCTCATTAAAAAGGCCCCGTTGCATAACTAAAACTCTGTTCCTTTTCTCGTGTCAGGTCCACCTTTGCTCAACATTCCGTTTAGCTAATCCCATTATTGAAAGTGACATGGGCATGTTAGCTGTGTTTTTGTTCAACACGGGGTCTGTGACCTTACATTTCTAACCACAAATCCATCTTTGCTGCATTTTCCTCTGACTGATCACACAGGCAGAATGATCCGTGTCAGTAATGAGAGTGGGGGCACCAGTTCAAAGTCTTCCAGGGCACTTTGTGCTTTTTGTAGAGCACGACAGCTGTGGAGGCAGTGTGGCACACAGATCCCTTTCTCTTCTCAGCTGCCTGAGCAGCCAGTAGGTCCATGTGCTGCCCATATAGAAATCGGACCACAGATTAACAGAATGTGTGATCTACGTTATGGGAAAAAAAAGGGTATTTGCTGTGCACTCAGCACTGAAATTTAGTGCAAACTCTTAAGACATGCTAGCTCTGTTTGCTACAAAATTCATGGATTCACAGCACAGACATGCATAAGATCTTAAACTGATATTATAGAACCTGTTGGATTCTTACTGTCAGGCAGCAGCTATAGGCAGCAAAAGAGTCATAAAAAGCAGCAATCCTGTGTTTCTCCTCTGAAAAGCTCCACTCAATTCTTTTAACAGCCTTGATGGGAAGAATGTGAGACATAAGTTGGGCTGAGATAAAAACATATAAGTAAACAGAAGGCCTTAACTACTTTAACCTATTTGAATCCTTATCTTGTGTCCTTTACCTGTTTGTCAGGACTGAAGCATTACCGGCTGATGTGACTGACTAATGCATAATATAAATTCAGACCAATAAAGTTTCTCCAAGATAATTTACAGTTAATGAGCGTGAATTTGACTCCTGGACCTGGGTCAAAATTCTAACTATGTGATTAAGGGGCAGAGAAGCAGGAGCCCGAAGGTGTTCCTTTCCCATTGGGAATAATGTGGGAGCTGGCAGAGGTCATTCACTAATCATCCCAGGCACTTGATAATCTCAAGAATGCACCTTTTACTTCTCCTCTCACCTGCACTCATACCGTTTGACCTCCCCCTGTGTTGTTGCAAAAAAGCCCATCCATCATTTGGAAGAGCATCTCAAAAACTGTTGCTCACAAGAAAAGTGGACATGTCAAAAGCTATCTGTCTCTGAAGTTAATATCTGACCTCATCACCCAGGGGCTTTGTGTTTTGGAAAGCACTTACTTGCCTGAAGAGACAGAATTTCAGAGGGTTGTAGTGGAGCTCTTCTTGCATCTTCACAGGGCTCCCAGAGCACGTGTGACAGGAGGCCCCATGTTTCTTAGGCGTTCTTGTACGAGGGAGGTCATGAGGTCAAAACTGCACACTAGTACACAGTCCCTGCACAAATATGTATTCTTTCTTCTGGTGGCAAAATATAGTGCCTTCTGGACCACTACAAATCAGTGGGCCGCCAATAGTAGAATTGATTAACTGTTTCAGAAACAGACATGGAAAAAACATAGCAGATCCCCAACATGTGACGCCCCGCACCGAAATGCACAACAGGTGAACCAACGTACCAATGGCCTGTCGGCGGCACAAAGTAGACACAGCAGTGGATCCTGGTATCCGGGATTCTCCTTTTCCTGTTGATGTTGAGCTCCTCCTTCAGGTATTTCTCATACTGCTCGTTGATGTACTTCACTATGGGCTCCCAGCTGAAGAAGAGAAGGAGAAAAATGGCACCCTGGCTCCGTCTCCATGTGCTCCAGGAGCCCATATAGCCTGCCAGCTTTCTACCAAATCATGCATTTGGTCCACACAACAAAACATTTACAGAGCCGTAAATCTGCATTGAACAGAACCAGCTTTGTTGTTCTCTACATATTTACTTGTAGAATGTGATCAATCCTTTAGCAGAGTTGTGGTTTAATTCAAAGACATATGCTTTACATATGAGATACAAATGAGATATTTCTTTCTGACTTTGATTTACATTTCTTGCAAATTCTATTTTAGCTTCAGACGTCTGCAGACACACGTTCACACTAGTGGAGGATGAAGTGGAAGCTGCCTTAATAAGGCTGATTAATAGGAACCCCGATGATAGCAGACACAGGCCACAAGATGCTGCAGGATAAGCGCAGCTGAGAGATCACCCATATTTAGTCATAACTGGTGTTTCAAGTCACTGCATAATGACACATTTCTGTTTACTATGCTTTTTAAAATTATCCAAATGGTGAACATCTTATTAATGTTGTACCACAGCATGGACCAGAAGTTTTAACCCATCTGTAAAACCAATAATGAATTCAGTCTTTGGCAGCATAATACTAAGGGGCTCAGTTGTGTAACTGCAGTTAGTGATTTGGCAGATGCTTAGATTGAATCTAGACCTGTTGCATCACCAGAGCAGTAGGTAGGACTTTAGTATCATGATTTGTGTGGACTGTTCATCTACCACCTATCCCACCTGGCAGACGCCCAATCCTGGCTCAGGGTATAAAGAGCAGGAGCAAAAATGAAGGGGCTCACATGAGCAGGTACCCCCACAAGCCCTATTATTAGATGAGCTCCTGGCAGGACGCTGACATCATGTATCATGTGTGCAGTTTTGCAGTGCACAACTTACCAGTCCTCATTGTTGATCTGGTCTCCAAAACCTGGTGTGTCTATCACTGTTAGCTTCATTTTCACCCCCTTTTCTTCAATAACTGCAAAAAAGAGAATGAGAGCCAGGTTTTTTTTTTCCCACTTGTGTTGATATATGGTTTCTGGAACATCTGTTTTTGAAAAAGTAAACTCAGAAACACATCTGAAATAAGCCCCATTAATAAACAATAACATACCAGCATGAGTAATTATAATTGGACTCGGTTTTGATTTATGTAGCATTAGATTTTCATTGTAAACAGAGAAATGATCTCATTCTTCATGGTGTCCTCTAACGGAACAACACCACCTACAGACTTGATGTAAATTCAAGTTCAGGTCTTCTTTTTTTAAACTAACCACTTGGGGGCAGTTTTGTCTAGCAGACTGTTCAGCATAAAACAGGCTCAAGGCCATTCTGTGTGGTTGCTTTTACAGCTGTTATGAAGATTTTCCGATGTTAACACAGTGTTCATAAACATTTGATGAGTGTATTCAAACCCACAGAGACAAACACTCTTTCTTTTACTCAAACATTCATCTTTTATCTCAAAAGTCATTTCCCCCTTTTTCTTGAACTGAAATAACCACCCAGACTGTGCTGTAATAAAGTCCAAGTGGTTCCAAAATATGCCAAGGGATTGGGGCTAAGATTGTATATTTTTCAGTGGACAAACAGTACATAAAAAACAGTACCCCCAAACAAAGGGGGAAACAGTGATGCATTACTCTGAAAATAGCAAACATCCCATTTTTTTGTTTTGTTAAAAAAAACACCCCAGTGAAAGGGAAAAGGCCTGCCTTTCGGCTTTCAATTCTTGGCTTGACAAGTCTATAGCTCAGCACTGACCTCAAGAACTAATCAATTATAAGATGAAAGAACACCACTGTTTAGAGTTTCAGCTGTGGAGGTGCCCGAGGTCTAAACCCTTCTCGACGTCACACCTCACTGGGCAAGCTCAGTGGAGAAATATTTTTCATTTTTAGGGGAATAAATCCTGAAGTCATCCAGTCTACCTATTACAGGTACAGGCTGTGAACAAAAAATATCTGCCTTCAGCACTCTCTACTCTGGGAGGCAGAAGATGTTTTGAAGATTATTAATACAGCACCACTATTACACACCTCGTAGTGTAAACTGTTCAGATACAAACCCATGGGTCTAAACGATTAAGACACACATTCCTTTGTTTTGGCCAAGAGAAACGTACAGTGATTGCTCCAGAGACCCAGAGTCAGCATAGCTGATGCCTGCAGGACTTGATTTCCTAAAAGTGGATATTCACTTATTACCCACTCAGAACAGTCACTCCGAGTGGCTTCAGTAGCACATGAATATGGCTTGAACATGACGAGACTCCCACTGGATTTTGTCAGAGAGAAACAGCCCCAATTTCTCAACGTTTCAAAAGCAAAAACTCACAGCTTCCAAAAACACAGATAATCGTTTCACGTTTGGATAAACATTTGTTTTTGGTCTTCCCAGCTGTGAAAATTCTTAAAGCCACTCATCTGTATCTATTGTTGTGAAGTTCTTCAGAGGCAGGACAATAAAGAGACAAAGTGTGCTGTGTGATTGTGCTTACCCCTCTCTTTCACTTTTCAGTCCCCTGTTTGCACCTGAATCGTGTCTGTGATTCGGTCAGTTCTACTACTATAGAGCTGGAGGACTGAAGTAGAGACACAGGATGGGCTCATGTGGGACGAAATCATGAAAAGGAGAGAAGGGGGTGCTGCAGAAAGTGAGTTTCTTGTTCCTCAGTGTGAGTGAGGCCTGGAGTTGGTCAGTTTTTTGTCCCTGGGACAAATTACAAATCCTATGCTCGACTAATTTATGTTTGTCAGAGCCTTTCTCTCTCGCGACCAAACGGAAACCAGCCATCAAGTATTGGGTTTATAATTTACAGCTGGCAGGTGGTTCGAAGTGTTGATTTATGTCTGGCCTAAGTCTGCTGCAGTCTCAGAGCAAATGTGAATGAGTCAAACGGCAAATCCCTGTGTATTCCTCAACGTTGGGTCCTGCGATTTACTCAGTAACGAGTCATTATTTTTTCTTCCACGTGATTATCTGCACTTTATGTAGCAAGAAAGCAGTATCAATGGTAAAGGTGAAAACACCTTCTGCCCAGAATGTTATCATTTCGAGCCCTGGCTGCTGCAGTGAGTTAAGGTCGCCACCCCCAAAAAACATTGTAACAAGCAAATTCCTAAAATTAAATAAAAAAAAAGAATTTTGATATATTTTACATAGATATTTGAATCTCAACAAAACTGGAGTGAAGTGATAAAGAGTCCGTGTTGGGATCTCCTTGAGCTCTGTTCTTTAATTAGAATGTCAGAATGATGTCACAAGGACACCAGAATGATGTCACAATGACATCAGAATGATGTCAGAACAAGCTTCTTGTTGATAACTGCAGGAACAGGAATAAGAGTGTACTAAAGAACTTATTATGACCATAGGACTTTGACCATGTGTAAAGGTACTGGAGATTTAAATGAAAATCTTCAGAAATATCTGAAAAAGCTATGAATAAGCTCTGAATTTGCAGAGCAATTTCCAACAACTAAATCTGTAACTGCAAAACTGTGACCTCTGTTTTATCCAGTAAAAGTGAGTGAACAGACAAAGCAGCCAGCAACTTCAGACTTTAGTTAACAGTTTACGTGACAGGACAGCATGCTTATTTAATAGCACTGTGCCTTCATCTTTAAATTACTGGCAAAATTGTGTCAATGAAAAGTCATTTTAAAGTCATTTAAATGACGTGTTTTGTACCTGGGTTAATCAAAACCACACTTGAACTTGCATGATTTCTGACACAGTGGTTTTAAAAACTAAAGTGCTTCCTTATTCTTGTAAGTTCCTTTTTGAAACTATATGCTAAAAGTGATGAGGCCTGGTCATTAATTGCTCACTCAACATCTCAATGTATATTATAATGTATAAAGTTTAATTTCTAACTTTTTATAAATCAAAGTAGAATTCTAAAGTTAACTTTTCTGGTCAGCCTCTAGGTGAACTGCTTTTGGGATGATGAATAGTTATTTAGAGGGTGAAATATCTGAAAAATTATGATGGCGACCAGTCACAGTTGACCTTTTCGATGATTTGATGGAAGCTGTCCTGACTCCAGATAAAAACCTCCCATCTCCCCCTACAGTTCTGGTAAGGATGGTGCCCCTACCTGCATGTCAGGTTTTTACTGCATCACATAAATCTTTTGTAATAAAAACTGACAGCTCAGCTCCTCTGTCAAAAACTCCAATTTTAGAGGATGCACTCTGCTCCCTCTGCCTCAGTTACCTCCCACAGATAAGTTATTTACGGCTCCAAAACTGCACCGTCGAAAAAAAAGGGTCTAAAACGCAGAGGAGCACAAAGGCCGTAGGACAAATTTCTCAGATAAATCTCTGAGGTCCTGCAGGTTGAAGGGCTGTTTGCATTGCACCTGACAGATGGGGATTACACTGATGAACTCTTTTCCTTTAGTTACCATGCTGCAAGACTAGAATTTACTGTACAGGATTTTAAGGATGACCAGATCACATTAATTCTTCTAGTCCGTGTGACTTATTCCTCTGTCTTGTGCTTTACTTTGAAAGATGTTCATTTATGAATTACAAAGACAACGGACTTGCAGGTATGTTTTGTACCTATCCCAGGTGTGACAGAGCATCTAATCTCTGGCATTCTGGACTTCAGGGAACGTAATCGAAGTACGCAGCATCCTGCAGAGTCTCTGTCCTGTCACTGCGAGCTGGACGAGTTAGACATTGTGAAAGCAGATGTGACTCTCTGTGCCTGAGCTCTACAGATGAGAAACAGGGAACTGGAAAGGGGAAAACGGAGGAGGATCTGATGCCTGCAGAACTAAAAAAACAAACAAACAAACCATGAGACTTCCTCTAAACTGGGATGCTGCATTAAATATAAAATAACTCGAGGCAATTCTAGGTAGCCAGCATCAGCATTTCTGTCTGGAATATCCTTCAGACAACAGTCTGAAGCAGCTTTAGAGAAATAATGTACGTTATAGTTTTTGGAGTTACTTCATAATTTGCTAAAGATAGGAATATTTTAAAGTGATAATTTCAATAAATCTCAGACGATTTGTAAAGATCAAATATCTGTTCATCATGAATAAAATAATTCAAATTTCACTCAAGATGAAGAGAACACTATGGGCATTAAAAAATAAAAAGAAAGTTTATTATGCTTTTTTGTAGGATAATCTGAATGATTAAATTATATATATATTTGAGTGCTAATATAATTTCTAATAACACAGATGTGCTTTAATATCCTAGAACAATTTCACCACCATTTTTTTTATTAAGGTGAATAACAAGGCTAAGCAAGCTGACTGCTATGTTCAGCACTGAGGGCTCCCTGGCTGTGGTCTGTGGACCCTCTGGTGGTCTGTGAAGCTACTACAGGGAGTCTGTGGAAAAGAGCTCAGAAATTCTGATGTGGAATCAGAATCACGGTCATCACTCCAACCTGACAACCCATCTTTGAAACCTGCAACACAGCACATCTCATTAACCACATGTTCATGCACACGCACTGTTGTGCTTCCCAAAGATATCTGTTGGAGCGATGACTAGGAATTTCATAGAATTTTGTACATTACAAATGTTTACAGAGTGTTGATTATTATTCAGTGATGATGTTAGATTTCCATATATAACATAATTTACAATAATTGTAGCATGTGGTGGTCTCTGAAATTGTCGGGGAGTGGAAAAGGTGTCTGTGCTCTTGGAAGGTTTGGGAACCCGTAGTTCAGTCACTGCTGCACTGTACCCTGCGCTGATTCTTGTGACTTCTCGAGACAAATGCTCCACTACCAGACACATGAATGGTGATCTGCAGCCTCAACACACACTGTATCCTTTGTTGTCGGATGAGCGTGTGTCAATACCTTGGCTAGGGCTCAGACCAACAGACCAGTCATCAAGGCTTTCCCATTCTAACTGGGCAGCAAAGACCCAGTGGCGCTGCATGATTCTACCGGTGGCTTAGTCAACGAAAGGCAGGATTTACACTAATGCTGGCTGGCACTCTTGTAATCTAAGGAAAGGGACACACCTTTGGGTGTCACATTACATACAGGAAACCCACAGCCAGCAGAACAGCCAGCTCTCTGTTCTTCAAGCCGCCTTTCATTTGACGCTATGCAAGGCCTAGTAAAATGTTTCTGAAGCTCCGACTACAAAGCAGAAGCAATTATACTGCTTTCAAAAGAAGTTAAGGCATGTCACCATACAGGAGGGATAGTGCGTCGGAAAGATGAACCAGACTTTAATGGCATCCCAGTGTAAATGGTCAAACACACCCCGTTGCGTCTGCTTCTAATTGTCTTACACGTCTTACACAAGCACTCAGCTGTAGCTTTAAACAATAAGACCAATGCATTGCTTTTATGGTGGAGAACTTCATATGGGGTTTTGCAAAGTCAGTACATGGTCATGCTTGGTCTTGTGGCATCACTCTTGCACTTCTCCAAATGTTTTATTCCACCTGCAGCCCTCCATCATCAAGCAAACAAACAGCAGCTTCATCTTCTTGTTCTATCATAGATGTGTTCTGAGATTAAACCTCTTGTCAGTGTGAGGTACTCTTTCAATATTCACACTCTTTCTTTCGGGTTGATTTATTATGCCTTTTGTCAGTGCTACCAAGGGGCTATTATCTTGTTACACACCAATGATCACCCACTCACCTGATCACACTGATGCAAATTAATTCTCAAGCCTGCACAACTTTGCAGGAGATAAAAATGGAAGGCAAAGAGATCTCATTATTACTGCGAAGGTAGGAACCTTTATGACAGTATATGTTCCTTATATCGTGTAATGAAAGCAGGAAATGAGAATGTATGTCCTGCATGTCTGGTAGTCAAGACAGCTAGAAACTAAAGTATGAAGACCTCATTAGGTAACTGACTTTTTTTAATGACAGAAACAAAAAAATTGTAAAATAAAAACCAATTCAGACTGCAAGACAGAAAGCACAGAAAGCATTCAATCACTGTAGGATCTGAACCAGATGGTTACAACACCAAAAATACACAGTAAGGCTCTTTGTCAACAAAGAAGAAATTACTTTGTTACCCAAATCCCATGTCTTGGCCTGTAGCCTTTTCAAAAGAGACCTATTGAATGATGAATCACATGCACTGCTATCGGTTTCCTGTTAAAAGCAGGCAAGATATTTTAGATTGGTACAAGGAGACACCTCTTTAACTTGTCAAACGTTGACTGATGATAAGTTTCAACAGCTCCTTTCAGGCCTAATAAAAGCCATGTGTGTCCCAAAGACAGCTCAAGTGGTATCTCTTCCTCTGCAGGCAACTGAGACAAGTACCACAGCAAGGTCTCATACCCTCAATAACCTAACACATACGCCATCTGACCAGACTCTGGTCTCCTTTTCCATTCAGGGGTAAGTCAAGAGCTGTGTTTGGTCCCAAAACTGTGACAGGAGGTACATTCCTTAAAGGGTGCACTACCACCCTAAAAAACTTGAGAATCCAGTGCACCTCAGATTCGGAACATATGCAAGAGGACAGAGAGGCCATCTATACTTGTGGGCGAGGCCATTGTGATGGTGTCAAACATAGGAAAACAACATGCAAGAGCTATAAGATGTAGCTGTACATTCAAAACTGAAACAATAAGGCCATTTGTTGTCGCCATATGTGTGCATCGTGCAAGCATATTTACAAGGAGAAACTAGTAATCTAGGAGTTGTTGCCAAGTACTTGTTGGCAACTACCCCTAGGAGCGCGTTGCTGGCAAGCGACAGGACATCCCTGCAGACACAGGGAGAACATGCCCATCCACGCAGACACACAGAGCTGCTGAGCTCAGAAATGACCCCCCGTTCCTGCACATGGGAGGGAGCAACAATACACTGGGGCAATGCTCTGCACTCCCATGTCACACAGAATACCAAACATCTCCAGGCCTGTCTTTGCAAAACTAAAGAGGTACCCATGTTAGATGTGTTCAATTTTTCAAAGAGGAATCAAGACACTGCAGATACTGCCATTGCCACATGGCAGTATCACAGAGACACATGCTAGAGGGGTCTATAATTTGGAACAGTTTCTAACAATATTGTGATCCTGCATTCAAAATTGAGACTCCAAGCCAATTCTCACACCACCCAGGTCTCACACATCCAAACACTATTTCCTTCTTAAATACTTTCTTCTATCTCCTTCTTTTTAAATTCCTTAAATTAACATTAATTAATTGCACTTAAAAGATTTACCACCTGCATTATTTTATGGGCTTTTTAATCGCTGTCTTTTGATAATTGTAAAACTGTGATAAATGTATTAAAACTAGTTCAGTGCACAACAGCACAACAGGGCAATCTGCCCTTATTAATATTGCACTACAGTCACATGAGACCATTGCTTTCTAATAGTACTGCTGTGAAAATGTGAAAATTTGCTGGAGGCTATTGGAATCGAAGAGTTAATACAGCGAAGGACAGATTACAATGCATTGGCACCAGAATGTAACAGATATGTAATATTTGTGGAGTCTGTTACACACTACAACACTTATAGGGCAAAAGGCTTGGTACCAACTAATGAATGAAGAATGAGAATGGACAGGATCTGCCTTGACACTCTTCCCCAGTTGGCCATGGTGGTGCCTGCAGAATGTAAACTGAGAGCCAGTGTGTGGTGCTGTGCAGGGGCTTGCTGATTGCAGGGCATGAAGCTTACACTCAGATGTGCACTGTGGCAGAGAGCATTAAAGTGCTAGGAATGACCCTGTTACACTATGAGTCTCTTAAAAAGTCTTCATTTCCTTTAGAGCAAGGAACCAGTCTTTAGGTATATAGGGGAAAGAATCAATCCCATGAATCATATGGGCTGTGTGGCTTGTGTGCTCACTGGTGATTGTGCTGTGATATTTCAAACCCGGAGGCTGATCACATGTGCTACCTGTAATACTCCTCGGTCATTCCCAGAGCCCACAGGCTAAACAGAGCACTGTCTTATTTCTGACCTGCTGACTTCTTCCCTTGATATATTAGGCATGTGTGTTTTTTATCCCGTGAAGTGACACGCACACACTAGATGCTGTCCCCTCAAACTAAAATAGACAATCTAGAAAACCAGTGAGCAGGCCTAAATGCTTAAGAATCACCTAGTGGTTTTACTAGGTGATTCTTAAGCAAGATCATAAGAATAAAAGATGACAGGCAAAACACTGTAAGGATAAAAATAATAAAAATGTTATGAAAGGCAAATTCTTATAGATAAAAGTATTACACTGCTTGCTACCTAGGATAATCAATCATACATACTGCCACATTTTATGACCTACAGCAGGTACACTAGATTTACTGCTGACAGAGAAAGGCAGTCTCAGACGAGAGAAGGGAATGATTGACCATGCTCACATTTCCAGGACAAATCCCCACAACTGCACTGTTAGTGTGAACATATGAATTAAAGACACTAGTGGATAAAAGAGCTGTGCTTCCTCTTGGAGCTTCTCTGGCAAGCAGACACAGATAAAGCTCATTTTGATAGCGTGGCTCCAAGCCAGCAGACTTGAGTAATGATAAGCCGATATCTTCAAGCGATCAAAGCAAAACTCTTCGCACACAGAGGGGAAGCTGCTGGATCTCTATCTGTTCTAGCAGGATAAACTGGGATGTGGTCATAGCTGTTTTATTTCACAGCAGAACAACACATCGTGATAGCCAAGAATCCTTCCCTCTCTCCAGAAGGATTGACTGCCATCATCATTTTAAAACCCAGAGCTCTAACACTTCCACATCTGTCAGCGTTTGCCCTTGACTGTACCTCGTTCATTGCATGAACACTTCAGGACCCTGCAGTCTGGCAAAACTCGCCACCAGAGCTATAACACATGTTGGGGTACAGACATTGATAATTGATCATTACAAAATATCTACCATTTTCATTGAAATCTTTCCTGGATGTTAACTTGAAAGTTTGTGTATAAAGCTTTATTAGTTGTTTTTTTTTCGTAAATGAAGTGGCAAAGATAACTGGAAATGCAGGTCTTATGAAGGCGACCCGTGTCTGTTACTCACCATGGCTGACTGACTGCAGGTTCACCGTCTTGGGAATCTTCTCCTCATAGTTGGGCGTGCATGACTTCCGGCTCACCTTGGATTTGAACAACGTATTCACCAGCGTTGACTTGCCCAGACCACTCTGACCTACAGAAGGAAGAATCAGACTCCGTGATTATTCGTGTCGAGATATCAAGAGCGGCTCATTAAGCAAACCACTGGACCTAGTACAGAAACAGACACTTTCAGTGCTGATGCTGAAATTGTCTGTCACGTTTTCCTAATTGTTCAAGCTTCTCTGTAAGACAAGCTCTTGGAGCAGGAACTGAACTTTTTGCTTGCATTCTATTGCTGATCCATGGCCCACAGTGGTACTGATAATCCCATTTTTCTACACAAATTGTGTTGGTGAAAAGGTGAAAAGGGCATTATCAGGGTGTTATTTGTACCTTTTCATTTAGCTCTGATTCAGCAGCAAGAATAATCCACATGTCAGTTTAGAAGTTAAGACAGCTGAGCACCGAAACAGCTCAAAAAAGACATATCATCATCTGGACTAGAACTGAAAAGCAGTCAGGGGAACTGAAGTGCTTGGGTACATTATTTGGCAATTGTGCTTTGATGTAAGCAGACAAGTTCAAGCAAAGGCATAGCGTTGTACATTGCCTGTTTTTCTAACAGGAGATTTGGACTTCTCAGAGCATGGGGGTACGTCTGCAGACAAGCCAGAAAAGGGAAGACTGTGATCCACACGATGCTGCTCTTGTTGATGGATCCAGAATCCAGACATGAACTGCTTTAATGTGGAATCTACCAACAGATGGCTTTGTATAGCAAGTGTATAACTTTAGATATTACTGATACATAAGCCACATGGAATGTGATCTTCTATCCCAGTGCTCCAGTCTCTGTCCTGAAAATCCTCAAGCCTTCCGATTTTAGAGTAGTTTCTAATTATTCTTAAACCACACCTTAGTTTGGATAATTTAAACAAATGTTCGAAAAAACAGAAAAATCCTGCAACTGTCCATGACCAGAGCTAGGCACCCCTGGAATCCCCTTATAGCAGACTTCTAATAGCATAGTTTCCCCCCACAAACCCAATCCCTATCGTTTTTATTTCGAGAATGAGAAAGCTCAGTAGAAGATATTTTGTCTGGTATCACAGGCAGAGAAAGTGGTCTTTGTGTGCAATGGCCAGAATTTGTCTTGCAAAAGACAGATTTTGTAGAAGTATTAAACCAGAATAATTGTGTTCCTAGATGTCCAGGAGGTATGGTCAAGGCATTTAAAAAAATAACACCTTTCACAAACTGGAAGAAACAATACGTTTGTTTTAATTCAATTACTGACCTAATTATTCATGCCAGCTCATAAAGAATGTTGGGGTCAGAGAAAGAATCCAAAGAATTGTTTAGATGTAATGATTGGATCATCAGCAATCCTGCCAGGTATTGTATCAGTTTTCCACAGAAGAAAGCTCATGAAATGCCATTTATTGTATGCTGAAACATTAAGACATACATATGCTGAACTTTATGTATTCCATGATAGATTGATATAACCTTTAAAAGGTCTGCTAGAGAAACACACACTGTATCACAAGGATACATTCATAAGAACTTTTGGAAATTACTTGCACAGCTTTTCCAACCAAAGAAAACTCAAAAAGCAAGAGTAACTTTCCCTTATAGACATGGCTGTCTAATGACAGGAGCATTATTCGCTCACAAAGAACAAATTTATTAAACCACTGTGAAAAAGTAAAAGCACGAGTAAATACCAGTACTACTTAAAAACCACAAAAGAGAATTTATCATATGCTCTTAGATCATGCCAAGCTCTAAAACATAAGGGTGTAAACCCATTCTTCCAGAACCACTTTTTGCTTGATTTCTCTCTCTTTGATGAAATTATGTGTCCAGTGAAAGCAGGGCGAGAAACAATTTAACCTTTATTACTGTGTAGACTACACATGATGGCAATTGTAAGTGACTATGGTACAAAGGATATTAACTACATACCACTGTGATCTAGTCTTGGTAAGATCCTGGTAAACCACATGAAAGCTGAAGGCATGAAAGGGAACAAGAAATATTTTAATCTGCTGATTTTACTGAACATCTAGTGTTTGTACCTCTGGTACCTCTTGTGAAGAATTTATTTTGATAGATTTTGTAGAAGTTGGCTGTTGATTGGCCAGTAAGAAAATAAAGGATGCATTGAGTAAAAATAAATAAAAATAAAACATTCTCATGACTAAGCTCTAAGAAAGAATTTGTTTTTATTTTTTAACGGTTTCCCATTGATAAAAGCTGGAACATTTTGGTCATTTCTGCAATGCGGCAGAGGGACAAAATGGAAAAAGCTGAATTTCAGTGATCTGTTAGTGTGGAATAAATTCAAATCCCTTCTAAAGGGAAGCAGTTAAGTAAAACTACACCCTCCCTGTGGTTCTCTCTTGGCAGGGAAAAGGTTCAGGAAGTGTTACTAATGTTTAATATGGGAGAACGGAAGAGCCACTTAATTATCAGGCATTAATACCAGGTTATTATAATCATTTCCACACTGCGCCGAGACCAGAGGCTGAGATGCTATCTGGTGAGGAGCATGGAGCTCTGGGGGGGGCAGGAAGATGCAGGGAGTGGGAGGTCTTGCCTGGGTTTGGCTATCCCTGACCGCTGAGCACATTGCTTCCGTGTGTGTGTGACTCAGCCGAAGGCCCTTCTGCCCTGCCCTGCTGGGGAGAGACTGCAGGACCGGCCCAGGTGACTCCCCTATCCTGCAGAACAAAAGAACTTCCTTGCCTCCCGCGCTACAGTCCATATGGCCATTTCTTCCCATTCCTCTGCTACAGGGACCCTGCCCACTGTCCCCTGGGGCTTCTAGAAGAACATGCCCCCATCCTTCTTTTCGCTGCAAAGATCTGAAACACACGCTTTGTTTTTATTCCATCCCCTTCCATTTGCGGTTCAGCCCCAGTAGATGCATCGGAGTGTTAGGTTGAGTTTAATTTGGCAAGCTGTTTTATATCTATATGCTGATGGAAAAAAGAAACGCAACACCTCCTCCTCCACACTCTGGCCCTCCCGTCTGCGTGGAACAGGCTGAAGAGTGACTCGTCCGTGAAGAGGACCTGATGCCACTGCTGACAAGTCCATCGCAGCCTCTGTCTGGCCCAAGCCAGTCGGGTGTGAGGTCTAGGAGGTGTGAGCACTGGGCCCCTGACAGGTCGCCTTGCTCTAAGGCCAGCAGCATGGAGCCTCACTGTCCTGTCAGTGATGTGGGTATTGTGTCTGCTGGCAGTTTCAGCAGCAGTACGGGTGGCAGATCTGAAACGATCTCTCAGATGAACCAGTCTGATGTGTCGGTCCTGCTCTGGTTCGGTCACTCAAGGCCAACTGGATCTTGGACGGTCATCTGTCCCGTCGGTCTGCTGACACCTTCTCTGCAGTCGGAAAACAGTGGAGCGGCTTACTCCATAGTGTCTGGCAACGCTGGCACATGGCCCTCTCCTTTGCTTCTGGTGACATTCAAGGCATTATGGACTGCAATGGAAACTGACCATGTGTGGCCTTTTCCTTGTAGTGACCGAAGCTTTGAATTAAGGCCATATTAAAGGTGACCTGATCGGGCATCGTTCCACCTGGACCCTGTTGGGTAAAAGTGCACCTAACGAGCTTTCGTGTGATTGAGAAGTTGCAATGCCTCACTGCACAAGCTGTATTGCTGGACAGAGGGCTTAAAACAAATTGACAACTTTTTGTGAAAGTACATAAGCTATAACTATAGTATTCTCATTCCAGAAAATGTTGCGTTTCTTTTTTTCCATCAGTATTTTTTTGTTAGCAAGTAGATGGATGGCTAAAGAGCTAGACAAAACATTTAATCAAGACAGACGGGAAATTTCGATGAGTTATTTTACGTGTACTACCAAGGTCCACTCTGAATCATTAAAACAGCTCATGCAAATAGATACATTTCCAGAACAGCTGAGTTAGGCAAGAAATGATGAGAAATTACTCACATACTAAGTTATTTTCTTCCATACCATTTACACATTATATGTTTTAATTTTTAATTCCATCACATCACTTCCATTCTAAAATCTTTTGCATCTGTGCCATTGCAGGGGATCTGACAACGATGATAACACAGCTGCAGTATTTAGTAGCCCTTAACGTAGCTAGGTTTTGCTCTACAGATAATGAAATACCAGCACTCTTGAGTAAGAACAAGTAATTTGCACTTAACGTCACAACGAGTAACATCTTCTATGTTGTAATGTCATCCAGACTGTGTGATTTGTTAAGTCTTGTTGTGAGTTTCTCACTAAATTTGAATCAGGCTTCGTGTGGAAAACACTATGGCTCAGTATACTAAATAAGAAAACAATCACTGGGCTAAAAAACAAACAAATTCAGATGTTTTTGCTCCCTCAAGACTATAATACAAAACCTTTATTGTATGTAGATACACGGATCCACGTTAAGCACTTCCTATGAGTGAAATCTTCTCCATATGGATTACGATGATTAGCACATTGTATTAATATGAAGGAATTGTTACTGTGGGTATTTTTAAAGTTTTCCAAATGACCGCTGTGTATTTGTAGTGTGACTTGCACGAGCCACATGGGGCGTTTTCTACACTGAGTGCTTCAGTGTCTTCTTTTCGTATTTCACTTCCTCTCCAGTATTCAGGTAGTATGTGCAAAACAAACAAGTGTGACCATGCCAAAAGGCAGAGAACCTTGCAGCTTCCAGAGCCAGAGACCTGCCACCAATATGGCAGACTTGACCTTTGGAGCCGAGGGAAATCACCCTCTAAAGCACTGTTTTATGTGGTTTATAGAAATGTCCAAGAACAGTAAATATCTATAAATGTCGTGTTAATAGTATCTGCCTTGGCCACACCGTAACTGATCGGTCATGTGAATAAAGCTCTTTGATTTTCAATTTGAATTTATTGCCCAGAAAATACTGCCCTTATCTTATTAACTGCAGACGTAAAAACATGTTTAAGTAACATTCTATTTACAATTTGTACAGGCATTTAACTTCAAAGGGTGCCTTTGCTGATAAGACACAAGCAATGACAAAACACTCTGCAATGAGACTCCAGGGAAAAGCGGACGGGAGTTATTC